AGATGGCCAGTCTCGTAACTAATCCGGGGAAGAATATATACCAATGACTTGACCATTCAGGGGAGCTTACACGCATTTGACAAGGGTACTTAATGCTTAGAAGGAGGGTCGGGTTGTTCAAGAGATCATACCGAAGCGTGTTCAAGACGATATATATAATTTTACTAATTCAATGAGAGGCAGATGGACCTATGATGCATGTCTTTTTGTATAATAAGTCACACTTGCTCTTCACTACCTACTTAAAGATGCTATACAGTTCTAAACAATACACAGGGTCTGGAAAAGATTTAGGGCAAAATTTCTTGCTTTAACACTATAAGCTTATGCCGCACCTATCTAAATGGAAACCTGCAGATCTTTGAATTGAACCTTTCAGATCACAAGTGTAATGCCGTGTTGCAACTACATTGTTCTCCTCCCTGGCAGGTTGGATAACGTCAATATGCATAAGAGAGAACGTTGAAAAGCCGGCCGGAGTGGGGCCTCATGGTGCCGAAACACGTCGGATATTAAAGTCACTTGAACCAATGAGAAGAAGGCTGGGTGACGGATTTAGCATTTGAAACCAATGTTTGTTAAACACCATATGCCATTATTCTTAAATAATGCCTAGCTCATACGGGCTGTAAGTCGAAGGGTTTATCGACGGACGCACCCTTTCAGACTATTTAAGGTAACGTACATTTAAAGAGCAAAGAACATAGGGCGCCTTTATTTATCATCCGAAACCTACAAGTAATACCTCAATATCTCCGGCTCAATTTAGCAGAATTCATCATAATCGTTTATAACAATGTCTTCGAAGCAGCTACGCATTGGCGTTTTCATGCCCTCAAGCGTGCAGCTACTCGATCTGGCAACTGTCGATGTTCTCGCCTCAATGTCTGAAGAATATCTTCGTCTCCTTCCTCTCCCCGCACACATTAGTGAGATGGCACCCAGCACTAAGATTACCTATATCACATCGCCAAAGTTGTTTCCAACTGTGAACTTAACTGCAGATCTATCCGTCCGTACATCACACACGTACGAAGATGATGAAGTTGGTCTCGGCAAACTTGACATTATCGTGGTGCCTGGTACAGATCCAGCGGAGGACTTTGAAGAGGCATCGACAAAGTGGCTAAGAGACCATTTCAACACCCCCGGTGTTGATGTATTGTGCGTCTGCACTGGTGTTTATCTGTGCGGCGCTGCAGGCATTCTCGACAACCGCCAGGTAAGTGGCCCCAGAGGGCTTCAAGGTGAATTGATCCAGAAATATCCAAACGCACATTTCGTCGGAGAGGAGTATCGTTGGATTCAGGACGGTAACCTTTGGTCAAGCGGTATGTCTGCGCTACGCCTAGATTTAGCCAGTTGCTTATAGAAACATCAGGTGGGATAACCAACGGCAATGATCTCATGGCTGCGTATGCTCAGGCACAGATCAAACATTGGCCAAAATCGATCTTTAAGCTGGGTGCGATGCTGGTCGATGTCGGTGATCGACCTCAGATCTACCATCAGAGCCAGCGCAAATTCTTTACGGTATTCGCATGGCAAGTTATCCAGAGCTGGCTTTTGAGCATAGTACCATTTGGGAAAGGTTTATTCAGGGCGAAGAACGATTCCTCCTAAATACCCACCTAGGTTTTTGTGAAGATGTATATATTTAGGAATCTCGAGTCACTCGCCTTAACTCATAATGCGACATTCAACTCTCAGATATCCACTAAGCACAGAATCATGCTGTTGGGACTAATATGGATTGGCGGAATTCGATTTTACTTTTTATTCAATTCTCGAATTCTTTAACAATTTATATTTTAAAAGAGTCTAAATACTCTATTATATATTTCTCTAGATATAAAGCAAGTAAACCTCCAACATCAAATCAAGTTACCGAGGATACATAATCTAAGGTCTAGTCAGCCTATACCTGAGTCTTTTTGTTATCTACTGAATAGATATCACAAGTCTTCTTACCTCGCCCTTGCTATGGAAGCTTCCTACCTTCATACAGCATGCAAAGGCCGTCAAGGTCTTCTACATAGCACTCAGGACGGCGAGAAAAGTTTATACCAAATTTAATTAATGTTGTCTACCAACCCAGGTATGTAGTTTTGTCAATCCAGAATTTTCTAACCCTTCCCCAACCGTCTTGCCAGCCTGCTAAGACAGCTTCTCGGGGCAAGAAAACATGAAGACCTTGGTGTCAAAATAACTGTAGCAAAAGGTAGCCTAAACTTATGCTAAGTTATCTAAGTCTCTTTTGTCATGTAGGGCCTAGGACGGCTCTGTCCATAACTTCGTAGTGGAGCTTACGGCGGGAAAATCTGCGCCAAAGCGGAGACGAGGTAACTCGTGTTGCTGTGACAGTGAGCACCCCACTGCGATAAGAGCCGTTATCGTAGAGTTCTATTGGTTGCACGCGTGGGGCTCTTGTTGAGCCCCGAAAAAAATTTCGAAGCTCTGGAGTTGCTTCTCGATTCTTAGTTTTCTTTTTTCGCAGTGAGCGAGAGTCTCAGGAAAACCTTACTCTATCACCATTCTTCATCATTTCTCTCACTTTTCTGTTTTATTGTTTCCTTCCGGCATACGCTTCATATTTCATCTAGATTTGAAACAAAAGTTAACACATAACCGCCACAATGTCCGCCGTTCCTGGTCCCGTCTACGGCCTCGAGGTTCCTCCTGGAGAGATCTTAATTCCAGCCACCATGGAATTCCCTGCCTCTGTAGGTTCTTCTCTGGCGCGTCGAATCTTGCTTGATGCGATGCAATGCGCTACTTTCCGCTGGCTCGCTCTCAGTAGGCGGCGCATCATTTGCGACAGCAGTTCGGTATGGTCTTGACCTCATAGTTCTAACCGTGAAATCCTACAGTTCCGCATTACCATGGCTGCGGTTGACCCTACCGAAGAGCCTGAGGCCGACGGTGAGGGCAACATTCCTACTGTTCCTCGATCCACCCTGCGCCTCGTCAAGCGTGCTCTCCCTGGTCTCGATGAGGATGAGGATGATGAGATCGATGATGAGTACATGAAAGCTCTCCTCGCCGGCTCCGACGATGAGGAGGACTCTGATGAGGAGGCTAACGGTGGTCCTAGCGACCCCGTCAAGGCCAAGAAGCAGAGGCAGGCTGCTGCCATTAAGAAACTTCTTGAATCTGCTCAGGAGGAATCTGATGAGGAGATGGAGGATGCCAAGCCCAACGGCAAGGCCAAGGGCAAGGCGAAGGCTACAGAAGAGGACGAAGAGGACGAAGATGACTCCGATGATGACAGCGAGGAGGGTGCTGATCTTGAGAACTTTGTCATCTGCACTCTCGATACTGAAAGAGTGAGTCTATGGAAGCAGAACCTAGGAACTGTCAACTAACTTTTACGCAAGAACTACCAGCAGCCCCTTGATATTACTGTCAACCATGGCGAGAAGGTTTTCTTTGTCGTTACTGGTACTCACACCATCTACCTCACTGGAAACTACATCATGGACGATGATGAGGATGATGAGGATGAAGATGAAGATGACTACGATCTTTCTCCTGATGAGCTTGAATATGCCCTCGAGGGTGAGGAGAGCGATGAGAGTGACGAGCTTGATGGTGTCCAGGACCCCCGTGTTCAGGAGATTGAGTCCGACGAGGAGGAGGCCCCCAAGCTAGTTTCCGTTCAAAAGGGCAAGAACAAGCGCGCCGCTGAAGAGGCTACTGAGGGTCTTGACGAGCTCATCTCCAAGGACGATGCCAAATTGTCCAAGAAGCAACAGAAGAAGCTCAAGAACAACAAGGGCGAGGCTGTTGCTACCGAGGAGAAGAAGGACGCTAAGAAGGTTCAATTCGCAAAGAACCTCGAACAGGGCCCTACTGGTTCTGCTGAGAAGGCCAAGCAGGGCAAGGCCACCACTGGTGTCAAGGTTGTTCAGGGCGTGACCATCGACGACCGAACTATTGGCAACGGCCGTACTGTTAAGAACGGCGACACTGTTGGTGTCCGATACATTGGCAAGCTCCAGAACGGAAAGCAGTTTGATGGTAAGTAACTAGCTCCCGCCGTATCTCCAACTTGATTAACGCTTTGATAGCCAACAAGAAGGGTAAGCCTTTCTCCTTCAAGGCTGGCAAGGGACAAGTGATCAAGGGCTGGGACATTGGTGTTATTGGCATGGCTATTGGTGGTGAGCGCCGTCTTACTATCCCCGCCCATCTTGCCTACGGCTCCCGTGGCCTTCCAGGCATTCCCGCCAATAGCACATTGATCTTCGATGTCAAGCTTCTTGAGATCAAGTGAGTGTAGCGTAGCATATGTCTCCACTCACTCGACACAAAGCCGACTTGCTACCGACCTCGTGACATAATACCCCAAACAGAGGCGGCAGAATTTGGCGACAAGTCGATCACGTCGTGGACGCCTGTATTCCCCAGGCTTCATATATCATATCTGCTCTCCACCCGGTGTTGTTGTTTTGCATGCAAGGATAAGAGAGCCCAGACTTGTACATTCTGCGGAGGGCCGTCGGTGTTTAGAACTGAGGCAAGGCGGCCATTTAGAAGACAAAACAGGAACGGTGTGGCGAGGACCGTCCCCGCTGCATGACATGAAATGGCGTACGATAAAAAGGGTTATGCTTGCGCTTTGCTATTGTTGGCGGGATAATTTTCCTTGTGCCTTAAAGGATTTTGTAAGGTTATTCAGATAAAATACTACTTCTTTCCTTTTCGTTTGATGTTTTCTCCCTTCCGATCCTTCTTTGTGTTGGTTTCATCATAGAATTCATAAGAAGCCGTGGATGTCGAACCTTCCAACTACCTACCACTCAGCCTAATGGAGGTAGGTTCATTTCCTTCTGGCTCGACAGCCTCCGACTCTGCTCTGCAACAACATCGCCGAGAGAAAACCTCGAGCGCCACTCTCTCCGTGTCTGGCTACTGCATTATCTTATTAGACGCGGCCAACCCTCGGATGTTGATGGGTGGTGTGCTAACTCTCTCTTTATTGACTACCCTGGAGCATCATGGCACCAACCTTGCTCAAGAAAGCCAGTCAACAATTCGTCCGTCTTTCGTCCTGCGATTCGAAGAATATATTTGAAGCGTCTCCAGGATCCGAATTCAAACTTGCAGATGGATCGGAGGCGCAAAGTTCGCGGAAGTTTCGCACTGGCGGTTCAAAAAGATGGACACCTTTCCGGGGTGCTTTCAAGAACATGAGAAAACGTAAGCCGTCTTATTTGTCTTCTTTGTAACCCATTGACATGCAGTAGGTGTCGAAGTATCCAAAGATGCTCACGAATTCCCCGAGGACCAAGCCAAACCCCATTTACTTTTCAGATCTGTCCCAAGACTGGAACGTGGAACGAGAAGTCCAGATGCAAAGGAAGCAGTAATACGAAAGTTGGGGTTGCATCCCACGGCTATGGCATCAAACTCTACTTTGGTAATTCGAAACTCCCCGAAACGAGCACGAAGTTCTTTGCAGCTGGTCAATCCTACTCCTTCCAGTGGACTAATCACTCCACCCTCTTCTGAGGCGAGCGATACAGTCACAACCACCGATGACAGGTCCACAGCGAAAACTTCGATGGAATCTTCTATGCTACCGAACTGGGAAATCATGGATAGACGATACAATAGGCGAAATCCATGGACCCGCTCAAGCCCTGAAGGCCGCGCTCTCAGTACTATCCCCGAGGCTGGTGTTGTTCAGGCTCGGCCTACCATTGCAACTGTAGAGAGGGCATCCGCTGCAAAGATTTTTCTCGAGACTTACTTCAATGAACTTCTCTATAAACCAAATGCAAGAGCGTTGCGGGGCCAGTGCCTCGAGTCTCAGTTGTGCAACCATTTGCTAATGACACCAGAGGAGAAGGAGAAGATTCGAGTGCAATATAGAAGGCAGGAAACGTGCCATCTCAGAGAGTCGAGGGCAATGAGGGCAGGTTCCTTGGCTTATCATGGAAACCAGGACTACACCCCCTTAGTCAACAACTACGAGCCACTTCAAATTTTAGGCAAAGGCAGTTTCGGAGTAGTAAGACTTGTACGTGAAAAGCCTGCTCCAGGACATGCTTTCCCTGGCCAAGTTTATGCTATGAAAGTCATTCGAAAGACAGAAATGCTACGGAACAGCCAAGAAGGCCATTTGCGGGCTGAGAGGGATTTTCTTGTGGCTTCTGAAGGATCACAGTGGTTAGTACCAAAGCTGACCAACACCACAAGGTCACTGACTGACTGAATGACCTTCACAGGGCTGTTCCACTGATTGCCAGCTTTCAAGACACAACAAACCTCTACCTAGTGATGGAGTACATGCCTGGTGGCGATTTTCTCGGATTGCTCATTCGGCAAAACATTCTGCAGGAACCCATTGCACAGTTTTACATTGCAGAGATGATCCTTGCTGTTGAAGAGGCCCATCGTTTGAACTTTATTCACCGCGACATAAAACCAGACAACTTCCTCATTTCCGCGACTGGTCATCTAAAAATTTCCGACTTTGGGCTAGCATTTAATGATCACTGGTCCCACGACGCAGCATATTATAATACCCACCGATATTCCTTGGTCCGAAGACTAAATATGAACATCAATGGTGACGAGACGGATCAAAAAGGCAGTAATGATCTCCTGAAACATCTTGAGTGGTACCAGTCTCTTGTTTCCGGACTTGACAGGCATGGGAAACATCCATTGGCGAGTAACGAGGACTTGCGAAGTCTTATCGGTTGGAGAAACCGACACGGTAACCGCACTGCTGCGCGTTCAGTTGTTGGCACCAGTCAATATATGGCTCCTGAAGTTGTTCTTAGTCAGAAATATGACGGGAGGTGTGACTGGTAGAGCATCGGCATCATCCTGTATGAATGCCTGTACGGGCAGACTCCCTTTCTAGCAGAAGAAGGACGCAAGCAGACGAAACAAAACATCGTTGTGCGTACGTTCGTATCAACTTGAACGAGGTAAATGACTAACAGTGGCCGCAGGACTTCAAGAAGAACTTCAAGTTTCCACCCAGGCCATTCGTAAGCGACAAGTGCAAAGATCTCATCTGCCGCCTGATCCAAGAGAAGGACATTCGGCTGTGTTCAAGGAGGTACCAGGTCAAATACCGGGATTCATTCAAAAGCTATGTGTTTCCCGATGACGCTGAAGATATCAAAGCACACAGGTGGTTCAGAAACACGCCCTGGGATCGCCTGCAATCAATGCCTCCTCCATTCACTCCGAACCTGAAGAGTGACGACGATGCACACTATTTTGATGAATCTGAACCATTTGAAGACTGGTCTGAGTCGATTCCCTCGGGTGTCTTTCTCAGATCGGAAGATGTCAAGGAGATCCTTTTTGGATTTGATACCCATGTGCAAGCAAAGGCTATGGAGCTTATCAAAATCCCGTTCGACGCGGCCAAGCTTCGAAGTATAGACCGGGATATTGATGGATCAAAGGAACTTCAGCCGAACGACAAGGCTACACTGAAGCAGTTCATCAGATTTTATGGCCATAAAGAGCGCAAACGACCAAGAGACATGTTGCTCCGGGACAAGGATACCAAAAAGACTTCATTAAGAATTCGAAAAGAGACGGCTTTCATGGGCTATACCTGGCGTCGGATGAGACCTGGTGGATATATCGATCCGAAAGTAACGGAGATGTCCAAAATGGACGAAAGCCAGGCTTCGACACTGAATATTGAGCGTTGAAAAGAAAGAAAAGGAAAAAAAGGAGGACGGTATGAGATACGAAGGTGTTCAGCCCTCAGAAGCATTGTGAGTAGTATTACGAATAGACATTAAGAGCTAGACCTTATTGGCGTGTGTACCTTCATCCTGATCCTCATTTCATCATCCTAGCCCTATGTAGAAACATCAAATCATTACCATAACATTGAGCGTGCATCCTTTATTGTGATTTGGACCTTTTGTTGGTATTGCAGTACGAACCGGACTCCGTTAAAGCAGCTGGGTCACCAGACGCAACAGCTTTCGCATTGCGAATCTCCCACTCAAATTCCTTGAGGGCCCTGATCTCCCAAGAGAAGAAGAGTAGCGAGAGCAGACCATCGATAACTCCAGCGACCAAGCAAAGACTACTGACCAGCATAAGGACAAATGCAACGTAGTTTCCAGGAGTAAACCAGACAGCCACAAGACATGCTAGCCAGACAAGCAATGCGCCGAAGAAGTGCATGCCTCGCCAGTAGCGCTGGCGAATCTCGCGAGCATGGTATTTTTGTATCATTCCCAGAATTTCATCGTAAGTGGACGCCTGAAATGAATCGTGATTAGAGAAGCGACCTCGCCTGAGTTGGGTATCGGGATCCGCAGTCTGCGCTGCGTCGCCTGAATGAATGCTGCTAGCCGGGCTACTGGAGGCCAAGTATGCGCCAGTCTGCAGAGCAGCAGATGGCGTTTCGGAGCGGGGATCAGCTCTGAAAGGCAATGGAGAAGGGGTATGCCGGACGAGCGTGGCTTGAACAGCAAAGTGGTCGGAGAGGGAACAAAGGAGATCAGGGTGCCGCTCAGTCATTGAAACATGAGCCGACTTGACGATCCAACCAGGAGCGGCAGCAGGAGCATCAGGGTCGACACCTGTCGAGGCAAAGATGTAGTCGAGTCGCTGGCCTTGAGGATCAATCGTATCAGGGGGGACCTCGCAAAGTTCGCCTCCCTTGAGCCGATTCTGCTGGTTTTTGTTCCAGCGCCATGTATTATAGACGGAGTTGCTGGTTGCGCCATTCTCGAGGAGATTGAAGGCGGCTGTCGGTAATGGCCGATGACGATCCTTTTCAGATGGGTGGTAGGCAGGACCAAGAGCGCTGTCAGGGTGTAATTTGCGCCAGACGTCATGAACAGGCGCATGTGTTGTGATTACCCGGTGAAATATGGACAAGGGTAACATGTTGAAATCACCCATTCCGATAACGAGATGTCCGCGTTCAGCAGCGCCGCGCAGAAGCTTTGAAATCTCCCATGACTGCGCAACTCGATGACAATCGTATGTACTCACAGGCTCAGGCTCGTATGGGGAATGAGTCTAAGAAATTCAAGTCAATTAACAAGCTGAAATGCGATATAACAGATTCAGACTCACATGTGTGTTGAAGACCTCGATTATGTCCTTTCTCCTTGGCCCAAAGCGAATTTTGGCGCAAGCAACACCCTTGCCGACATACCAGTCTCCCCTCCAAAATGCAGTTGGTCGTCCATTGAGGGGATACTTGAACATGGTACTCTCCTCGATCGGCCAGTGACTCAAGATGGCCAGACCGCCACCAAAAGCACCGCTGTGGTAGAACTTTCCATAGGGGAGAATCTGGCGAGTGTGATGCCGAATGGCTTGGTAATCCTCCTGTGTAAAACATTCCTGCAGGGAGACGATATGCGGTGTAGGGACAGCGTGTGCAATTCTGTGGCCTATCTCGTCAAGTCTTGCAATTCGCTGGGACGATATGTAGCGAAGACCCCAGCAGTTGAGGGTCAAGAGGTTGATCTCAGAGGGGAAATTATGAGCATTATCATTGTTGACGGCAATGGTGGAAGGCGTTGTGACATGCTCAGCAGCGTCACTTGCCATGACCATGGCACCGGTGGAGTACGCGCAAGTAATGGTGACTGATAAGTTTCGTGAATATCAGACAGTCGGAGAAAGAGGGTGAGACAAGGGACCGGGCATGGGACAAATTTTGGATCTCAGGTTGGAGAGTGGAAATATTGAACGTGGCGCGATGCCTCGGCTGCTGGATATTAGTTAATTAGATATGAGGGCACCAGGGAGGTGTCACTGGTATTAGTGGTAGAGCCTAAGAAGCGCAAATCGGCAATAGTACAGATTAGTTACGATCGAAAGCAAAATTCTAAAATGAGGGAGATGCGATAGACGGTCACCGCTAGGAAAAGGAGTGAGAACACGCGACGCGAAGGAGTCTAATGTGATAATTTACAGAACACCAATTGAACCAATACCACGCCTCCTTCTTGTTTGGGGACACTGCCGGTACTTGTGGTCACCCGGACTATCCGCTCCAAGGAGGGGCCGATACCTGTTGGGCTGATTACCGAACTGGAGGTCTACGCCACTCCGTAAGTGAATATGGAGGTACATTGGAAGAAAAACGAGTAATAAAGCAATGATTGGTGATGGAACTATTGAAGTCATAGCGGCGTTCCTCTTCATTTTGTTCCATGAGAAGTTGGCATCATGATATAGTATGCTTATTAGAGATTGCACCTCTTTCTAAGGTATTATCCACACCTGACGGTAAGTTGCCAAAACATATCCATCCTAGCCATCATATTGCTTCCTGACTTCAGACTAATCTTAGTAAATGACCAAAGTCTTTTTCTCTCTTAGGATCAAGCCCCGGAATTTCTTGCTTCCTATAGTCTAAGTAGGTAGAATAGGTAGCACTCTAACTTACCTACTCTAAACGGTTCAGCTCTCGTTATGAACTATAGGTACCTTAAGATGGAAGCTTCCAGGAACCGTGCAATTGGATTCCGCCAGTAAGATAAAGTTACCATGCCATCAGATTCAGAGCTTCATTCTTCTCACCTCTGATCTCAGTTGCCACATGCCGAGCTTCATCATTAAGTTCGATACCCCTCATCGAACTAAAAAGGCGCCATGCGTCATTCTTGGGTATCCATATAGAATCATCTGGTAAAGTCCAGGCATGTACGGAACTCTTCACTTATAACCAATACTGCCCAGATATAGACTATATTGACTTCCACATGTGTAGTTCAACCATCGACTATAAGTTTAACCAAGAATATCATTCTTTTGATAGTCATAGTCATAAACTTGTAGCTGTTCATCCACATTCGCAATGTCTGTAGTCTTTGAATCTCTTCTCATCAAGTTCAAACCCATTCTGGTTGAACACCCGGAATCCCCTCCTGCTTCTTTCTCATCCGTGACCGATCACCTCAAGTCAATTCCTGGCGTCGAGTCCGTGTACCTTGGCAAGCCCCTCGAGAAACCTGATTACTGGGTTCTGGGTATTCGTTGGGCCTCGCGCCCTGCCTATGATGCCTTCGTTTCCGGTTCCGCTGCCACCGATTGGCATGCTTCTTTGCGCGCCTTGCTGGCCGAGCACCCTATCGTCAGTCCAATCGCAGAGTATGCAGGCCATGCCGAGCGTGCCCTCCATGCACCCATTACAGAATTTTGTACTTGTTGGGGTGCTGGTGAAACCTTCACGGAGGATAACATGAAGCCATTCGCCGTTGCTTGTGAAGAGGGTGGGTTGGCTGGGCTTCATGGCTTGGCTTACGGCGAGTTTGTACAAGGACAACATGAGAACCCTTCAGTTATTCCTGGCCGAGCATCTAGGCTACTGATGGGTTGGGACAGCAAAGAGGCCCATTTGCAACACAACAATAGTGGAAGTGGTAAGTCTCATTTCTTTGTTGCGCTATTAGTACTGACTAAATTGCACCATAGTAATTGACGACAACGTATACTATCTGCTTGCTCGGAACAAGAGCCTTGAAATAGTGAGCCATCTAGGAATCAATGGAGAGCCCGAGCAACTAACATTTCATGTAGTATCATGTCCCTTTCAGAAAGCTCTGAGAGACTTAATGTCACGCCTAAAGGTCGCAGGTAATATCAGATTGTTATTGGATTAAGTAGAGAACAAAATAACACTGAGTCAATGCGCCGTCGAAAATCAGATACCTTGAAAGCTGTCACTTGTCAGGGTGAGGCTCTCTCTTCCTGCCAATAAGCCCCGTCTTGATCCGTACGTCCCGATGAAATGCGATCCCGTCCTTGACACCATTTCTATGCCATTCAACCATACTGCGACTTTCCTTACCCACCCTTGAAACTTCAACTCAGGTGGATGGAATGGTCTTCTCAAATCTCTGAACTGTACCCGGTGGCCCGATATCGCCCTCATTTTGAACCTCCAAAACACACTGCATCCTCCTTTTAGCCTCTTGATGTCTCTGCAAATAGCAATCTGTTCGTCCTAGTTCGTTGATCGCTCCAACGTCATTGTACCGATATCAGAAATTAGATACGATGTTTCTCCGATTCTGTATCAAGATTTCAAGGTTAGAAATTTAATTCTTGCTGGGTCTGTTTTGCACCTCACCGAGTCGAGAGTAGAGCATGTACAATGCCATACGGTTACATTCCTCCGTTCCGGTAATGGTCACCAGCCGCTCGTTACTATTGTCCTGCGGCTCGTTGATCTTGATCACGCTGTTGCTCATCTGACGAATCTCATTGATCTTCTGTCCACCCTTGCCGATGATAGCACCGACCATGTCGTTCGGGATGTAAATCTGCTGTGTGATAGGCCCACCGGGGATGGCACCGCCCATGGGCTGAGCTTGGGGAGCACCAGCATGAGGTTGAGGACCAGCATGAGGGGCCATGTGCGGTTGGCCATGAGGAGCTGCGCCATAGGCACCTCCTCCCTGAGCACTGCCATAATGCATAGGCATGACAGGGTTGGCCTGAGCAGCTGCGTGGGGATATTGCTGAGGGTAAGGCGCCGGTGGCATATGGTGAGATCGCCGGTCGTTGTGGCGGCCGTAATTTTCACTTCGTCCGTAGTGGCCCGAGGCCGGCTGGGGTGAGTAGGGAACAACTTGCATTCCGCCTGGGATCGAGCCAGCAGGGGCGCCGCTACGGGTTGCGTAGGCAGACGCAGCAGGACCTCCAAACCTATCATTAAGCTGTTCGAGAAGGGTGCTGCCAACATAGTAAGTTGCGATATGAACAGCATCAGCGACACCCATTACTACCAGCGATCTCTCGCTTGACATAGGCAAGCATGAGTCAGAAGCGTTCAACCGAGCACCAGATGCCTCTTGGATCTCACGAATACGGGCACCACCCTTACCGATGATGGAGCCGATCAAAATATGCGGAATGAGTAGCCGTAAGGGATATGTTTTTGAAGACGCGGTTGAGGATTCGTTGAGGGGTTCGTTGTTCAGTGTTCGAATGATCAAGCCGAAAGCCTGAATTGATGTTAATTTATAACCCATGCGTAGGAGAATCAACATACCTTAGCTACAGCGTCTACTATGCCGCTAACAGTAAGAATACGTTCAACGGCCCCCTTTTGGTAGTCGCTGACTGTGCACTTAGCGTTGGAAAGCTTCCTGATGTTGGAAACATTCTCGCCCCCCTTTCCAATGACAGTAGCAGCCTCCGGGCTCGAGATAACAGCGCGAATATGAATCCATGAAGTCTCGTCATGGGCAGCAGCAGACGTTACAGCGTTGGATGCAGAGGCAGCAACTGTGGCGGCAGCGGCGGCCTTTGTGTCGGGTGCATGGTCCAAAGTGGCATCGTCATCATCTTCAGACTTATGGGCTCCATTGACCTTATCGTCATGGTCCTCTGCAGGAACGTCGGTGGGAGCTTCGGGGACCTCAACATCGTCGTCATGCTTGTTCTTGTCAAGAGCAGGTCGTTTGGCATCAGGCTGATCACCAGCGCGCGAGGGCGAAGAAGCTTCTTCCAAAGGGCGCTTGGCCGACTGGGTTGGTTGTGTTGGGGAAGCAGACATATTGAAATCGTTATTGTTCACGCGAGTTTAGTCTTTCTGATAATCGACAATTTGAAAACGTCTCGTTCTTTCTATTGTTCGTCTTATATACACTCAGGGGTTTTCGAAGGAAAACGTGCTGGTGTAGTGACTTTCGCTGGGTGTGTTTCGGTGAAATACTCGTGAAGTGACTTATGTCGCGTAAATACGATGCGTGTTGCGGGCTGAATGGAAGGAAGAGGGATTCGCGATTCGGGCTCAAGGGCGGGTTCCAGAACTCTTTCAGCGGGCGTCGAGAAATTACCCGGGAAGATCTCCTAGATATAGGCGGGAGAGGAAGGGCGGAATGATTGTCTTGTGGTGCAAATATTGAATAGTGGTGAGGATAGGTGAAGCGATCGATTCTGGGACGGACTTCTTAAAAAGCAAAAAGAGGCAGTGCTCAGCTCAAACCTTCTGACCCGGACTCGAGGTTTCTTGATCGCCAAAGTCGCCAGATTCTTGAGCTAAAGCGCAGAATCTGGAGCACAAACTAGCTGGCCGCGAAGCGTGGGAGGATGAGAAGCTGAGACGAGAGGAGCAGGTTCTTAAATGGATCGGCGCGCGGTGTTTTACAACTTTCGCTGTCGCAATGGATCCCAATCCCAGGGACGGACCAATCCAAATCAATCAGAAGAAAAAGGAAAAGGGAAAATCTCAGAAACGATTACGGGGAATCGCTGAGAATAGAAAAACGAGGATCTCACGATAGCAATGGCAGGTGAAAAGGGGGGAGAATGAATATGACACAACAAAAGGTCGATGGTTTGGAGTGAGGAGATGGGAGAAAGCCGGAGAAGTAGCCCTGCGAGGATCCAACCTGGGTAAGGTAGGTGCTAGGCATGGAGCGCTTTGAGATGTCACGTGCACCACCTCGACTTGGGCCACATGAGCTCAGGCGCTCCACCTGGCAGTGATACTACGTACCTCAGCAAGTACTAAAGTTAGGTACTATATCTAGGTAGTGAGCAATCACAGCCGACGATATAATCACCTACTCTCACTGGACCTTTCTTTTTGATAACCG